TAGATGACGGTGATAAGAGGCGACCAGGTCGACGGTGGAAGAGGAGGTGGCGGCTCGTACGCGACAGGAAAAGAAAAAAAAACTTAATAGAAAAACAATATTAAAATAGGAGAGAGAAAGGATGGGGCAAGTTTTTTTACCTCTTTGCGTTAAAGGAGAAAGTGAATTGGTAGAAAATAATGTCAAAGAAGCAGACTTATTTATACCTGGAGGATTTCTCAAAATCACTTTGTTTCCGGAAAAATTCAAGCAGGCCTCAAGGCCCACTAACGCAACAAAACCATCAACTCTATCAATCCTCTAAGTAAAAGAAAAAGAAAGCAAGTCCAGGAAAAGACGCCGACATCGGCACAACGTGGAATAACAAAAACTTTCCGAGTTCGATGACAAGACGTCCACGCCTGGCAATTTTGCAGTCCATCATATCAATCTCAGACTTTGGAAATTTTTACGTCGGAATCATCGTAACTCGATACTGCCAAGTTGGGAGGTTAACGGTAGGGGTCGAATTTCTCCCCTATAAGATCGATATAACGACGAGATCAAGTCTGCAGCGTCCTGACGAAATCTGATCAAGTCTACAGAGGCCCAGTCTGAATCTAGGTCCAAAATGGCATTAAACCCATAAGCAAAATGAGCTTAATGAAATTATGGGCCTAAATTAGATATATTGTTTAATGGGTCAAACCCATTTTATTAGTTTGCACAATTACTTAACATTACATATATCTCATTGTATTCACCCAAAAAGGGGTTCAGAACTTTTGGCAGAGAATATCTCTTGTAACAACAGTTTCACAGAAATAGCAATAAAGAATTCTTGTTCTCAATCTTTATTCGAAGTGTGTTCGCGACATAGAAATCTCTAATCCTCATACACCCTTGATAAATTTAACTGTTCAGATCCGACTCCCACATTGACCATGCGGTCAGGCCCAACTGGGCGCGGTCAGGCCCAATTGACAATTCTACACACACTGACATACACACAAATAAAAAGGATAATAAAAAAAGGTGAAACCTAGGTTAATACATTAGCTCATAACGTAACATAAACATAAAAATTACGTAAACTATTTGTGTGTATGCCAGTGTGTGTAGTTACAATTAAACTGATCATATTATTTTATACAGTTAAAAATCATATTAAACTGATCACAGTAACACACTAGTTTGTAAATTTGTGCATGTAGTTCCAATATATGAGTAGCTGTAGTTTGCTGTACAAATTCGTGACAATGTAGTTAGCAAAGTCAATGGTTTGTTGATCCTAAGTGGTTCGAGACTTAATTATTCCCATAAACAAAACAACGAAGCTTAAGGTATAGGATTTTAATATCGCATCGTTGTTGGTGACACCAAAGCATTATGGTATGTACTCTTTATTTAAGTTTTACTAATTTTGTTGTTTTTGTTAAATGTAAATATATTTAAAATCTTGTAAAATGACTGAATAAATAGCCCTACTTTGTCAACGTTAAAGGCAATAATGGAAGGGCAAAGGATAAATTTGACAGGAAATTGAAACAAAAGAAGTAGTCAATCAATTAAAATAAAACATTTTTTTTCTTACATAGAATCATGAATTTGATCTCCGAGGCAATTATAAAATAAA